AAAAAAAAAAAAAAAAAAAAAAAAAGAAAGAAAGAAAGAAAGAGAAAAAGAAAAAGCTCTTTACTGAAGTGTGACTGGGGTGGGTGGGTGGCCATAAAAGAATAAACGGTGCTGTTTTAGGTGCATTGATAGCATTTCCATTCCATGCACTGTTTCGAAGCTCTTTAACCCCATCATGCTGCCACTGCCCAGCTTCTCCCTGTCAGAGATGTGGAAAGTAAGCTCCAAAAGGACACTGCTGCGAAGATGACTCCAGGTTTTGTGCTGTGTCCTGAGATGATGTTGCTTTTCCCTGAATGGTGGCAATGCCCTGGTGTGCTTCATCTAGGAGAACACAGGAGTGGCAGGGCACACATTTCACAAATGCTCTGGCACTCTTAAGAGTGACTGCTTGACTGGAGGATAAATGGGACCTGGTAAATACTGCCAAGGCCTCTAACCAGACAGTGACCTCCTGCCACTGGAACCTTTGTATGTGTTGTCTCTAGCCAGGTTTTCTTTAGTTTAGGGGTACAGCTTAAAGAGGAGTAAAGAAACATGCATTTTTGAAATTGTGTGAGTTGTGTAAATGTTACATGAAAATGTAACCCTTTCTAATTTCCAAATTCTTAGGGAAACCAGGGTGCATTTCTCCATGTAACAAATGCAATGGAAGATTTAGTATGATGTTGTTCTGTGCTCTTAACTTTCCTGCCTTTAGAATTCTTGTATTGTAGTATCAGTTTAACTGAGGTGTGATGCACAGGCGTCCACACCCTGCATACAGAGTAGGGTGTGAGATGAGCATCTTGGTGTGGGCCTTTGATCAAGCACTGAAGCAGGGGGTGGGGCTGACCTGGCACCTTCAGAATATGATAAATAGATGGATGGTGAAAGATCTAACTACTCAGCTGCCCGCCCCTCCCAAAGCCACATGATTGCCATGTATTGTAGCTACTAATTTGCATGACACTTGGAACACTGTGTGTTTCTGTGGCTCATCTGATGTGTCTGTCTTTGTGTTCAGAGATGAAGCAGATGAACCTCGTCACTGGAAAACAGCGCCTGATAAAAAGGGCTCCTTTCTCCATCAGTGCCTTCAGGTATTGTCAATGGGGAGCACGAAGGACGGGCCTTCCCGCCCCTGCTCGTCCTTATTCTTTGGCAGAAGACCAGGTAGACTCACATTCATCTCACGTCTCATGGACTAAGAGTGATTTTTGCAATATTAAACCTCTCATTTGCTGATAAAATAATCATTGTCCCCTGCCATTGTTTCCTTTCATTCTCTTCTCTTGCCACATGTATGTATTTTTTTCATTTCTTAGACCAGTGTGCATGATAACTACAAGAAGCCAGGTGGTTTTTGTTTAAAACCCTCTTAATGGCCTATTGAGCTTAAGTTTGAATTTGAACTAGTCCACATTGACTGGAGGCCTGGGGATGATGCTCTGCCATGGGCAGCAGTGTTTCTCCCCTGGACCCAGGAAGATGCTCTGCCATGGGCAGCAGTGTGTCTCCCCTGGACCCAAGAAGATGCTCTGCCATGGGCAGCAGTGTGTCTCCCCTGGACCCAGGAAGATGCTCTGCCATGGGCAGCAGTGCATCTTCTTTTTGGTTCCCTTTGCCATATATAGACTTAAAAAAAAATGTTAAGCGCCAGAGGCAAATATTTGTTGCACATGGGAATAGAAAACAAGTGAAAAATTTTAAGACTGTATTTCCTACTTTCTAGAATGATTCCTCAAGTGAATGTTGCATTCTCTCTGTTCAGAGAACTTAAGATACAGGTGGGAAACAAAACAGTAGTGTGTGAATTGTAAGGAATGCCCTCATGCTCTTTCCAAGGAGCTCTTGAGAAAGTAGAGCAAAGAAAGGAATTGAAGGGACTAGCAAGGAAAGAAATATTTTCAGTTTTCTGTTTCAAAATGTTTTGCTTCTATTTTAACATCACGATTTAAAAGATAATGAAGGCTTTCCGGTGTCTTTGGGACACAGAGAGTATGTTCTTACCTGCCACATCATGTATGTGTTCCTCGGTACCAGCAATAGAATACAGGCGTTCCTTATCTTTTAAGAGTGTGAATCTTGGGGAGTGAGACACAGTAACAGGAAGTGTTTCACAGTTGTGTGTTCGTATAGCTGGTATCCCTTTGAAGTGAGGTGAGAATTCCATGCTGGGATTGAACATATTCTTCTGTCCCAGACAGATGGGGCAGGTGGAGTAGGCAGCAGAGGACAGCAAGTCAGGCAGTAATGAAAGGGGAGGAGTTTAGTGTGAGAGCTAGGGGTGAAGGGCAGGAAGTGCTGATGCAGAAAGGTTAGCTGTCAAGGCCTTGGGTCCATGCAAGATATTTAAAACTTTCCCCCATAGCTGAAAGATACATTGGACAATATGTGGGGGGTAGAAAGCTTTCAAAAACCAACAACTTAGTATTGAGGTTAATTTAAATAATAATTCCTATAGTGTTTGAAGTTCTTCTAGAACTTTCTTAAGACAATGTGAATGTTCCTACAATCACACTCATGATGAAGAAAAATACAAATTTATGCCAGACTCCTTTGTTAGCAGACTGACAAAAATTCAAAAGTGGAAGAACATGCCTTTCTGGAGAGGTTGCTGGCAGATCAGCACCCCCACATTTCTGGTGGGAAGGTTAATAAGTGCAATGTCTCAAGTCTCCATGTGGACATTAGCCACCATAGCCATCAATAAATCATCCTTTGGCTCTGAAATCCCTCTTCAGAGATGTCATTCTATAACACATTCCCGGGCACATGAGACAACAAATAGACAGATTTGTTCTTTGCAGCATCTGAAATTGAAGCAAAATCTCGTCAGAAGCAAGCGGTTAAGTAAGTTATGGTTCTGTCTCCAAGCTCTCCTGTAATTTGGACCCCAAATCCTAGGGAACCATCCACTTGTTCCTGCACCAGCGCAAACCCCACAGGGCAATCCCTAGTGACACATCAAACCCCTAGTGACAAAGGAGACCTTCTAAGGAAGATGTTCCACAGTGGGAGCACTTCAGCTCCCCATTCCCTGTGCCTGGCCCGCATGCTAGTTTTTTGCTTCCCCTGGCCATGCACAGAGATGAATGGTGTGTGTGTGTGTGTGTGTGTGTGTGTGTGTGTGTGTGTGTGTGTGTGTGTGCGCGCGCGCTCTCGTGTAAAGGAAGTATTTATTTATTGTTAACTGAGTGTCTGACATGTGTTGGGATTCCCTTGGCCCTGGGAATGAGGAGATCGAACACGTATTGATAAAGATCATGGTAAGAATTGATTAAATGAGCAAAACAACCTAAGGACAAATGTGTGCTTTGTGTTGCCATTTGTATTGAATAAAACTTGGCTTTCTGAACCTAAAGGAAGCTCTAAAGGACATCTGGGTCTGGAAATGACTGGTGGAGAAGGAGTGAACCCTGAGTAGAGCAGGAGAAAAGGTTCCCACTCTGTACTCGTTGTTACACTGAAGACTTTTCTGAGAGGTTTCTAGACCCATACAGGCAGCCCACAACTGACTGTGACCCCAGCCCCGGGGGATTGGATGCCCTCTGATGGCTTCTGCAGCCGCCTGTATGTGTGTAGCACACTTGTACACAGATGCACACACACACAAGTAAAAATCTTAAAATGTGTATTTTTAAAAAGATTTTATTAATTTGACAAAAGTGAGCTAAGGATGGATTTAAAGTCTGTTAATTTCATCCACAATCTTAATTCCCAAAGGTTAGTGTGTCTGTTTTAACATTTTGCTCTTGAACCTCCATTGCTGTTGTCTCTGTGTTTGTATCCCATGACTGGACCATATTATAAGGCTTTTAAAGATTTGCTACTGAGTGACTGCACTGAGCAAGTCAGGGTGCACTGTCTAAGGAAAGAGTAGGCAGAGAAGGGGGGGCTGAGTCAGGCCATAGAGGACAGAGAAAGGGGGGGCTGAGTCATCTTGGAAGACTGCAATGGCTGGTAGAGTTTTCAATTTCATTCAATACAAATATCAATAAATGCTTTGGGTTTTTAAAAATCAGCCTTATTTTTCTTAGGAATTCCTTTTCACATTTTATAGAAATTGGAGCAAAAAGAAATTGAATTAGCTAGTTTTGAAGTGTTGAAGCTATGTAGATTTGTATATTCCCATCGAAGTTAAAATTGAGCATTGAAAAATTAGGAAAGCAGACATCGGTAAATATTTCTAAGTGAAGCGAAGGGTTGAACTCTATTGTGTTTGTCATAAATACCTTGCAAACAGAAAGCTCAACTGTGGAGAGAAGGCTAAATCACTGACACTAATTATAATCTACTTCTGATACTCTGCTCTGTCTTTTGCTGTTTGAAGTTACATCTGTGAAAATGAGGCCATCCCCATGCCCACACACTGGGAGAACGTGAATACCGAAGTTCCCTACCAGGTAAGAGCAGCTGCAATTAGGACAGGCTGTCCCTGGGCAGTAGGTGGGAAAGCCACTGCTGAACTCTGTGACCTTCTTCTCCCAGCTAGTCTCCCTGCAGAACCAAACGCATGAGTATAATGAAGTTGCCAGTCTCTTTGGGAAAACAATGGATCGGAACCGAATTAAAAGGATTCAAAGGATTCAAAACTTAGACTTGTGGGAGTTCTTTTGCAGGTAAGTGAATTTCCTGTCACTCTTCTGAATTACAGGAATGGCCACACACAGAGGTTAGCTTGTTCATTTTCAGTCAAAGACAAGCTGGACTTCTCTTACCATGCCTTCTTTTTTTTTAACATTTATTTTATTTTATGTGTATTACTGTTTTGTCTGTGTGTACATCTGGGCGCCATGTGCCTTCATGGTGCCAGTGGAGGTCAGAGAGGGCATTCTGTCCCCTGGTACTGGGGTTACAGGCAGTTGTGAACCATGTTGATCCTGCAAGAGCATTAAGTGCTCTTAACTACTGAGCCATCTCTCCAGAACCTTGCTGGCCTCGCAGGCCTCGTCTCCAGCCTCAGAGAGTAGACAAGGTCTTCTCTAGAATACATTCAGTCAGCACAGTGAGAGAGACTTCATCTTCACTAGAGCCAAACCTGCAGCTTGGTTGAAATGCAGCTCTTTAGCTTTGCTATGGCTGCTTGCTTTAGCCCTTTAGATTGTGTTAGAAATCTCTGGAAATATGACTTAAAAAACAAACAGTTAACATTATCCTTCTTGTAGCCTTTTGCTTGTTTTGTTTGAAAGAACACTTTACAATTTACCTTTACATTTCTTGCGTCACTTGGAGTTCATGCTGTGGATTTAAAAATCTCTATTCATTACTAAATCTAAGTTAGAAATGACTGTTAGATTTCTCAGTGTGCCTTTAACCTAAAAATAAAGCTTATTATCTAAAACTTAATTTGTTACCCAAATTAACCTGTTATGTTGTATTTTTGTAATAAATACTGAATAAGTGGTTCTCTGAAATATTTTAAATAAACATTTGTAGATGAGATTTGATTTCTGGTATTTTTATTATAAGCTTTTAATGATTTATTCAGAAGAATTTCAAATCAACACAGAAGTAGAATTCAACCATAATAAGCCCAGTGATCCTGTCCAACATCTGTCAAGGTTTGCTACACAAGCCAGTTGAGGAGGCATACAGCCGCTAGCCCAGCACACAGAAGGCTAAGGCAGGAGGACTGTGAGCTCAAGGGCTTCAGAGCAAGTTTGAGTCCAGCTTGCACTACTATATGGTGAGACCCTGTTTCAAAAAACAATCAAATAAACATTTGCCGAAAACAGACTAAGATTAACCACACATAATAGGTCGCTTTGTTATTGGGAAGTATTTAAAGCAATTCCCAGCCTGTCTCTTATTTTGTTTGCATGTATTTGAAAATTAGGCTGACTTTCCTTTGGTAATTGTTACAGTCTTATTTTCTGTTGCTATGGTAAAATATCCTAATGGAAACAACTTAAGGGATGGGGTCAGGGAGATAACTCAGCACTTAAGAGTACTGGCTGTTTTTCCAGAGCACCCAGGTTCAATCCCCAGCACCCATATGACAGCTCACAACTGTCGGTGACTCCAGTTCCAGGGGATCTGACACCCTCATACAGATATTCATGCAGGCAAAAACACCATGCACATGAAATAAAAATAAATAAAATTAAAAAATAACTTAAGAGTTGATTTGGATTAAAGAATATGCTCAGCTTGCTTTCTCCACTTAGCCAAATTCACCTACCTAGGGAATGGTGCCATCCACAGTGGGCCATTCCAATGAACCTAATGAAGAAAATCCCTCAAGGGCATGCCCATAGATCAGCCTAATCTAAACTGTTCCTCAATGAGCTCCATCCCCAGGTGACTGTACATTGTGGAGAGTCCACGGTCAAAGCTAACCATCACAGTAACGGTATATGGAATGCTTCCATGGTCCCAACTCTCTAGGCCTCAGTTTGTTCCAGATATCCTTGTAAGAAATTATAGTAACAGTGGGCTTTCAGCTTTTGCTTTTTATAGTCTTGAGTATTTGACCAAAAACCTTATATTTCTGACAGTCACCGGGTTTACCTGAAGATTTTCATTCAGTTTGTTTGGGGGGAAGATAGAAGCCTTTGCTCCCTATGATTTTATTCTTTCAGTGATTGAGTTCGTTTTTTCTAAAATGAGTTGGTGGCATTTATTCTTTAAAAAATTCAATTTATTTAATTTATGGGTATGAGTTTTTGCCCCATGTTTATATGTGTACCACATGTGTGCCTTGTACCTGTAGATGTCAGAAGAGGGAGTTAGGTCCCCTGCAACTGGGATTATAGGGGGCTGTGAGCTACCATGCAGGTTCTGGATCCTGAAGCAGGTTCTCTGTAAGAACAAGTGCTCTTAACTGCTGAGCCATCTTTATAGCCCCTGTTGTTATTCTTAATTATGCCTCTGAACTGGAGCTCATATTGGTCTCCTTTACACTTGAGAGCTCTCAGTAGAAGCATAAAAATATAGTGCTGAGTCCTGTATCTTCCTTTTGGAGAGGGGAGCTTGGTGTTCTCTTTGTAGTTTTGGAGCCTGTCCTGGCCCTAGCTCTGTAAACCAGGCTGGCCTTGAACTCACAGAAATCTGCCTGCCTCTGCCTCCTGAGCGCTGGGATCAAAGGCATGTGCTACCACCGCTCAGTGTCTTATACATTTTTTACTAAGAATTTACTAGAAATTTTCCTTGGTTTACACTCTTTGTGATCTTCTGTAATGTCAACCCACAGACACCTGTCATGATAGTGCAAAATACTGAGGCTGTGGTATAAGCAGCCTGTCACTCTGAACTCCCTGCAGAACTAAAATAGCCACACTGGTCTCATTGACATGTAAGCTGTGACTCATCATCTGGATAGCCAGAACTTGAATGAGTCCACTCTGCTACATATTATACGTTCCGTTCTGACTTCCCTCCTTCCTCTTCCCAGTAAGTAGTCTTAGTCCCCGCTTTGTGATAGGCAGTATTCTAGTTACTTGGGATTTGATGGTGTATAGGTCTGTAGGTCAAAGAACCATGCTACTGCAAACCCAAGATACACGGGTGAACACAAGCTATCATGGGAACACAAAGTAAGAGCTCAATTCACCCTTGCCCTAAAGCAGGGTGTATGTAGTGACATGGGGGTACTGGGGAGAACTTCCTAAAGCTGGTGTTATTTACACTAGACATGGGCTGGGGAGAGGAGGACATCTTAGACATGGGGGCATTATGAGCCAAAATTTATCTAAAAATTGGAACACAGAAAATTCAGAGACTTTCAAATAAAAGGACATAGGTGAGTAGCACTAGAAACCTAGCCAAGAAGTGAGTATGTAGGAATAGTGCCTCTGGCTGACTGTGCACCTTCTCTCATAGCTCTGAGTCAAATTGTCCAGACATAAATTAAAATTAGCAGGCGCCTTCCATGCAGCACTTTATAAGCCAAACTGGTTGTGTTTTTATTGTTGTTTGTTTTTTTCTGAAACAGTGAACAGAGGAAGTTGGGGTGGGGAAAGCGGGGAGGGAGGAAGGGAGGAGGAGGAG